TCATCATCGTCACCATCACCACCACCACCATCATCAGCATCTTCAGCATCATCATCGCCAGCATCAGCATGATCATCATCAGCACCATCATCATCATCATCATCATCATCAGTATCGCCATCAGAATGGTCATCGTCAGCAGCAGCAGCATCATCAGCATCAACAGCATCATGATTCTCGACATCATCAGCATCATCAGTATTATAATCAGCATCATGGACACGACCATGAACACCATCACCATCATCATCAGCATCATCAACATCATCATCATCATCATCATCATCATCAGCATCATCATCCTAATCCGCTTCAGCATCATCAGTATCATCAGCATCATCATCACCATTACCATCATCACTATCAGCATCATCATCATCATCAGCATCATCCTCATCACCACCACCACCACCACCATCATCATCATCATCATCACATGGTCATCAGCAGCATCATCGTCATCATCACCATCAGCATCATCATCACCACCATCAGCATCAGCATCAACATCACCATCACCATCATCATCATCATCATCAGCAGCAGCAGCAACCGCATCATCATCATCATCATCATCATCATCATCATCATCATCATCAGCAGCATCAGCATCCGCATCCTCATCCCCATCCTCATACCCATCCTCCCCCTCCTCCTCCCCATTCTCCTCCTTCCCCTCCTCCTCCTCCTCCTCCTCCTCCTCCTCCTCCTCCTGCTCTTCCTCCCCCTCCTTCCACTCCTCCTCCTCCTCCTCCTTTGTTCTCGTTCCCTCCCTCCTTCGCCCATCCCTCCCCGCCCGCAGTGCGAGAGAGCGCGCGCTCCTAGACGATCTCGTCCTGGGGGGGGAGGGGGCGGGGGGGGGAAGGGGGAGGGGCCGCTGGACGGAGCGATGGAGGCGAGGAAGCGGCCAGAGGCGCCGCAGCTTCGGGACGACCTCGCCGACCGAGAACGGGGCTCAGAACGACACAGTAACTGACCGTACTGTGGGGGCCCGACCACAAGAAACCGTCCACAAGAAGCCCAACCCTGAGACCCCAGGACGTCCATCGATGTTTGGTGCGGGAACGTCACGCGTTCCATAGCAAAACCATCGAAACCCAAGAAACCGAGGGCAACCTGGAGGCAAGCAGGGTTTGTCTTGGCATGGGCCTCCACTGCATGCTGGTGAGAATCACCCCCTAGGGGTAAGAAAGTTCGGGGTCCAGGCGGGATGCGATGTTTCCCCGGAGATATCGTCGGTGTTCAAGAGCCTCTTTCCCCAGAGATCATTTCGGGAGATATCCCCAGGTAACATATGTCCTGGCCGGTCTTCCAGATCGGTCTTCAAGAGCCTGCATGATCCTTCTAGACGACCTGTCTGGAGGGGATACTTAAGTTCGGCCCCCTCGCCTGCTGCGACAATGGAACCACATTCAATACGCGGATAAGAAGGTGCACAAAGGTTAAAAGGGGTATACATATCTAAGCTGGGGGATGGGATCAGTGTTGGGTCGGGCATGTCCTCCTACAGGCGGATGTTGGATGAAACATGAGCATCCGCCGATCCGGCGTGTGAGTTTCAGAAGTCTAAGCTGAAGCTCTGCTTCAGCATGAGCTTTAGCTCTGCTTGGGAGGGGGGAGGGGGGGGGGGGACGCAATACCCGACGAATTAAGTGCACGGCACCCCCCCCCCCTGCCAGCCTAGGAAAGAGGGGGGGGGGGGGGACGGTGGACAAGGAGAGAGGGGGGGGGGGGGTGGGGACAGGAGGAGGGGCTGGGAAGGAGAAGAGGATATTTGGGGACGAAGAAAAAACAGGGAGGGGGGGAAGGGGAGGGGACAGGAGAGAAGGGGGGGGAGAAAGGGGGAGGGGGGGGGGACAGGAGAGGAGGGGGGGGTGGGGGGGGGCGGGGGGGGGGGGGGGGAGGGGAAGGGGGAGGGGGGGACAAGGATAAGAGGGGTGGAGGTGGGGGGGGGGGGGGGGGGGGGGGGGGGGGGGGGGGGGGGGGGGACAGAGAGGAGAGGGGGGGGAAGGGAGAGGAGGTGGGGGGGACAAAGAGAGTGGGAGGGGGGCGACAGGAGAGAGGAGGGAGGCGGGACAGGAAGAGGGGGGTAGGGAAGGGGGAGGGGGGGACAGGAGAAGCGAGCCGGGGGGGGGGGGCATGAGAATGGGGGGGAAAGGAGAATTGGGCCAGGAAGGATTGAGTGGGGAAGGGGGACAAGGAAGAGAGGGTGGGGGACAGGGGGACAAGAAAAGAGGGAGGGGGGGGGGGGGAGGGGGAGGGAAGGAGAGGGGGGGGGAAAAAACAGGAGAGAGGTGGGGGGGACAGGAGAAGGGGGGAGAAAGGAAGAGGGGGGGTCAGGAGAGAGGGGGGGGGACAGGAGAGAGGAGGGGGGGTGGGGGGGGCCGGGATCATCACCATCACCATCACCATCACCATCGCCATCATCATCATCATCATCATCATCATCATCATCATCATCATCAGCATCATCATCATCATCATCATCATCATCAGCAGCAGCAGCAGCAGCAGCATCAGCAGCAGCAGCAGCAGCATCATCTGGAGCGCCCCAGATTGGCGGCACTGGCCGGAGGAGGCCACTACTATAGTCAAAAAACATGCGAGGACAAAAGTCAAACATTGTAGAAAACTCGTCCCCTGCCTATTTTCTGACTAGTTTTGAACATTCCTCATGCAGAGGGACGTGCCCGACTTAAGGTTAGTGTGATGTGCCTCTCTGTGGGAGGCGCACGTCCGCCTCGAGCATCGAGCGCGCAGATCCTCTGGCAGCACGTCGCTGCCCACGCGCCCGGGCCAGAGCAACAAAGACGCCAGCCACGGTGCGCCTACGACAAAATATGGCGCCGCGCGCGGCGCCCCCTCTGGAATGCTGCAAACACACACACACACACACACACACACACACACACACACAAACACACACACACACACCCTACTGGTGCGTAGAGTCGGACCCAGGCCACAAGAGCGTCCTTCAAGAATTAGGTCGGGCATGCCCCCGACAGGCAAATTTCAGAGAACTGATTTCAAACATGCCCAAAACAGGTTCAAAAACTGTCGCACACAAAAATACGCGAAACATCTTCCGCAGACAATGTTTGTTGGCTATTTCTGAATATCCTTCCTGTATAGGGACATGCCCGACTTGATACAAGAATCTGAGACCCTCCGACGGCCAAAACAGACAGAACATCTAGTGTGGTTGGAATTGGTACCACAATGGATTGAATCCAACCCGATCGGTTGTGCAACCCGTCCCACTTGCGGAGCGACCCCACCCCCGGCCCTGTTCGGAGTGGGAGGCTGTTCTAACCCCCCACCCCCCTGGGGGGGGCCTGCCAGAAATGGCAGAAAGGACTTGTTGTTTAACAATGCGAGCATGTCAGGGTCTGGGGTTACGTCGGGCGTGTCCTCCTACAGGCGGATTTTGGACGAACAATAAAAAATAGTCAACACATGCTCAAACATATTCGAAAATAGCACATGAAATCGTCCCCAGACGATTGTTTGACTATGTATGAATGTTATGATGGACATGCCCGACTGAACAGTAGTAGCAGACAGTGTTTTCCCGATAGTTTAACGACGCGAGCATGTCAGGGTCTGGGGGTCAAGGAACCGATCTCTGGACCGCTCCCGGGGTTCTGTCAAGAAATTCAAGGCGAATCTGGCCGCGGCGACGAGGAGCTCGCTGGAGGCCCCAAACATAGCGTATCGTTGGGGCCGCCGCTGCGACACTCTATCCAAAAATCCCCGACAGTATGCCAATTTTGTTTCTCGAAGACGTCTTGGGGTCAAGCAGTCGACCCCTGGCACCCTCCCAGGACGAGCTCTGACCAGGACGTCGGGACGGATCCCGCCGTGGAGGCGGGGAGCCCCCTGGAGGCCAAGCGCAACCAACAACAAAATAAAGGTCCAATCCTCGAACCCGACGGCGCCCACGACGACGACGACGGCGACGAAAACCGGGACGACCACGACGACGACGCCGCCGCCGACGACGACGACCATGACGACCATGACGACGACGACGAGGACGACGACGACGACGACCATGACGACCATGACGACGACGACGACGACGACGACGACGACGACGACGACGACGACGAGGAGGCTCTGCGGAAGAGAGCTTCCCTCGCCGACCGCCCCTCCCTCGGGGACCTGCTCGGGTCAATCCAGACCCGGGTCAATCAGGCCTTGCAGAATCCTGGAAGATCCTGCACCCAAGCCCGGGTCAGCGCGACCCTGGCCCTGCAGGATCCTGCAAGATCGGGCGCTCTGGCTCGGGTCGGGCGAAAAGGGGGGGATAGCAAAGGGGGTTTGAGAAGCAGCTACGCCGCTGATTTTCCCGGCGCCCCTCCGGCGCCGGAGGCGGCCACGTATCGAAAATGTGGGCCCCTCGGCGGGGCCGAAACCAGCTGCATGCAGTAAATTTCCCCCCCCCCCCCCTTTCCCACTCCCCCCCTTTCGCCCGGCCCGACTGGCTGACCCCCGTTTGCACTGACCCCCGTCCCAAGGCTCCCGACTCCCGCGCGGTCCTCGCCGCCCGGCGGGCCGCACAGCGCCTCCAGGCACCGCTCCGTGCTGGCGTCGCAGGCGCGGGCGCACTCCTCGGGCGAGGGGGCCCCGGGAGGGCCCGGAAGCGAAGCGAGGGGTCGAAGCGGAGGAGGAGGAGGAGGAGGAGGAGGAGGAGGAGGAGGAGGAGGAGGAGGAGGAATAAGAGGAGGAGGAGGAGGAGGGGGGGGAGGAGGAGCGGGAGGAGGAGGAGGAAGAGGAGGAGGAGGAGGAGGAGGAGGAGGAGGAGGAGGAGGAGATCAGGAGGAGGAGGAGGCAGGAGGAGGAGGAGAGGAGGAGGAGGAGGAGGAGGAGGAGGGGGAGGAGGAGGAGGAGGAGGATGAGGAGGGAGGATGAAGGAGGAGGAGGGCAGGAGGAGGGGGAGGGGGGAGGGGGAGGGGGAAGGGGGAGAGTAGAGAGGTGGTAGGCGGGGGATGGGGGAATCTGGAATACTGGAATCTACCTTCGGGACCTGTCAACCGCCACTGTCTGCAACCCTTGACTAAAAACTTCTCCTCTATTCCTTGGTCCTAGGCTCAGTCCGAAAAAACTCGTACTGTTCAACCGCGGCCGTGCACAGGGCGAAACCGCCCTCCAAACTGAGGCAACCCGCAGCCAGTCCCTCTCCCCTCAGAGTCTGCTAGACGGAGCCACCAGGGCCAGGAACCGCCAAGCAGCCCGAGGGCAGGGGGACGAGCGACGACCTACCTCGAGGGCAGGCCTGCCCCTACGTGCAAGGCGTACCGACTCTCGACCCCCCCGCTACCCAAACTAAGGCGCACGGGGGGGAGGGCGCATTCGAGCGAGCAGCTGTGCTGCTCGGACACTCCCTGAATTCGCCAAACTCCGAACTCGCTCGTACAATTCCTCATCTACATGAGGGGGGGAAGGAGGAGGCTCAAAAGAGGAGGAGGCTGTCCCTACCACGCACGTCCCGTTCCCCCTACTCCGCTCACTCACGCTCACCCCACGTGCTGCTGCACGACGCGTGCCAGGTCGGCGCGCGGGGCCGGCCCCACCTGGAACACTGCTCCCTCCTTCTTCAGAGCGCCCATCACGGCGGCCCTGATCTCCACGCCGTGCCACACGTCTCCCTGAGCCTGGGACTTGGGCACGGCCGCCGTCGTCTTCACGGCGAGCTTGATCACGGCCTTGCCCTGCGCCTCCGACTTGCCCTGCGCCGTCACCTTCGCCTTGCATGCCCCGAAAATCTCCGCTGTGTTCAACTGTCCCTTCAAGCACTCTGAGCACGTATCCTGGACGATAGCGTTGTCCTTCTCGCCCAGGTCGAGCCGTTGCGCCGCCTCCAGCATCGCCACTACGATGTGCGGGAAAGGCGCGCCCAGCCCGTGTCCCTTCTTCTGCCTGCTCACCTCCGTGTTGTACGTCTGCCCCGCCTCGACCATCGCGCTCGGGAGACTCGCCGCCTTGACGATGAGACAGGTGTCGAATACCACCCCTCCGAGCTCGCGCACCTGGTAGTCCAGGGAGAGCGCCAAGCGCTGAACTGCCCGAAGCTCGTCTCGAACGCTGCCTTGCTCTCCACTGCCGTTGTGCCCACCACCACCCGTCCTCGCCCTCTGCGGGCGCGGCTGGCCCGCCTCGCCCGGTGCTGGCAGCCTCTGCATGGCTCAACGGATCAGGGCCGAGATCGATGTACAGGGGCACGGGCAAGTGGGTCACGACGTGGACGTAAAATTGATGTCTATTCTGTGCCACAACATCGCAGAACGGACAGCGCAACGCATCAGGAGGTGGCTCAATGGCCTCGTAGCACCATCGGGATCTGTCGGTCTTACACTCACGAGTCCCCTCGATCGCCTGCCACGCGTGCCAACGTGCTAACCCCCTCGTTTTGAACGTACTCCGACACCATGGGCACTCGTTTGTGATAACAGCAAGGGAGACGGACGACCTCAAACGATGTGCATTGATCATGTGCGAGATCAGACCTGCGTACGTCGCACTCGCATACCCACACTCATTCTCCTCCGTACCAAACGCGCACTGCCACGGCTTATCCTGCAGACCCGCAAGTTCGGCCGCGGGGTCGAAGAACGCCTCGGGGTCTGTAGCGCAGCGGGCTGCCCCAAGAGGTCCGTCGAGGCCAGGGGGCGGAGCGATCTGAACACCATGTCCTGCACTACGCATCACATCGACGTCGAACGAGCAAAACTCCAAAGCCGTGGGGGAGGGGGAGGGGGAGGAGCAGGAGCAGGGGGAGGAGGAGGAGGAGGAGGTGCTGCCCGCCGTGCGGCCTCGACAGAGCAACTGCCGAGCGCGAGGCCATCCCTGCCCGAGGTTCACCATGCGCTTCGGGTCCGACTCCCGACCGCCGCCCCGAGCGGCACGAGGGCAGGAGGGCCCTCCTGCCCTCGTGCCGCTTGGTTTACGCGTTCCCAGGAGGCAGCAGGCAGCGAAACGCAGAGCGCGCCGTGTAATCATTCAATTAAGCGTCTGCGATCGAAAACCCAAACAACCAGTGAAAGATAAAGATTTCTGGTCCCTCGAGGGCACAGACTAGAGTCGAGCAGTCGAATCGGCAGTCGAAATAGACCGGATCGGGGGACATGGGCAGCCAAGTCGGGAGGAGCCGCATCGGCTGAACTCGGCAGGCGTGCACGCGTGCCGTGAAGAATCGGGGGCCCGAATCGACATCCCAAGTCGAATCGAAGCGGAATCGGAATCCAGCGAAATCGAATCGAATCGAATCGGGGGAATCGAGATGAGCCCTGGGGGGGCCCGAACCCCCTCGGGTTCGTCCCCATGTTCGGCCTCTGGAGCCCCTTCCCGGGCGGCGGGGCCGTGACAAGAACGACTCAGGATGAAAATCCGGTCCCAGGAAGGGGTCGAGACCTCTGGGGGTCTACGTCATGGAAAGAACGTTGCGTTTAGGTCGGGCATGTCCCCCGAAAAAGAAAGATAGTCACAAAAAACTCAAGAATATTCAAACATGCTCAAAAAGTCGTCCCCTGACTGTGTATGGCCTATTCTTCAATACTCCTCCTGTAGAGGGGCACGCCCGACGTACCATTACGTCGGGGTTCGGGGGCGGCGACGCCCCTCCGCCGTCGCCACTGCCACACAGCCGAGGCGCACAGGAAAGGCCCAGAGGGGCAGAGAGAGCAACAAACAAAAGAAACAACAAAACGCGGGGGGGGCAGGAGAGGGCAGCAAGAGGCAGAGGGAGCAGAGAGAGAGGGAACGAGTTAGGTCGGGCATGTCCCCTTACAGGCAGGTTCTGGACGAACAAATCAAGAATTATCAGCAAATGCCAGAACATACTCAAAACATACTAGAAAAATCGTCCCCAGAGTATGTTTGTACTATTTGTTGAAGATTCCCCCTGTAGAGGGACACGCCCGACTTAAAGAGAGAGTGAAAGAGCAAGAGGGCGGCAAGACAGGGGAAGAGAGGGAACAGGGAAACTGGAGCGGGCAACTCAAATCCTAGAGGGACAAAAAAACGGCACAACACACAACCTGTCGCCCGTCCGCGCGGATGTCTTGAATCCGCGCTGGGCCCCTCTCCCTGCAGCGCGCGGAGCGCGCCAGGGGGCCCCAGCGCGGACACAAGAAACCCGAAAGGAGCGCCAAAAAATTATGTATGTGCCGTTTTCTGTTCTTCGAGATCCTCAGCCTCCCGCGGAAGGGCTGCGCTGGGCGGACAAGGCGCAGGCCTTCCTGGTGGGAGTCGTCCTCGTCGCCCTCTTTGGGAGGGGGGGGCTCTTCGGGGGCCCCTCGTCCCCGTCGGACCTCGGGAAGGGCCTCTGGGGACCTCACGGGGATTAGGATCTGGGGCGGCGGCAAAACTTACAACGTCCTCGTCCTCCTCCTCCTCCTCCTTCTCGTCCTCGTCCTCCTCCTCCTCCTCCTCCTCACCTCCTCCACCTCCTCGTCCTCCTCCTCCTCCTCCTCCTCCTCCTCCTCCTCCTCCTCGTCCTCGTCCTCGTCCTTGTCGTCGCCGTCGCCGTCGCCGTCGCCGCCGCAGCCGTCGCCGACGCCGACGCCGTCGCCGTCGCCGTCGCCGCCGCCGCCGCCGACGTCGTCGTCGTCGTCGTTGTCGCCGTCGTGGCCGTCGCCGTGATCGTCGTCGTTGTCGTCGTCTCGTCCTCGTCCTCGTCCTCGTCCTCGTCCTTGTCCTCCTCCTCGTCCTCGTCCTCGTCCTCGTCCTCCTCCTCCACCTCCTTCCTCCTCCTCCTCCTCCTCCTCCTCCTCCTCCTCCTCCTCCTCCTCCTCCTCCTCCTCGGTACTCTCTCGGGCAGCGGGAGGGACCGGGCCCAGGACAGCCACGTCGTGCCCAGCCCCATGGCGGCGGCAGAGGATGGAAGAGGAGGAGGAGGAGGAGGAGGACGAGGACGAGGAGGAGGAGGAGGAGGAGGAGGAGGGGGAGAAGGAGGAGGGCGAGAAGGGCTTCGAGACGCCTAAATATCACTTCAAGACTCCCCCCTAGATGACCCCAAGACGGTCCAAGAGACCTTCAAGACGCCCCAAGAGGAGTCCAAGAGGCCTCCCGAGAGGGCCCCAAAGGGCAAACATCATATGCTTTTCATCCGATGTTTTGAAGGTTTTTGGCGTTCTCGTCTTTTCGGTTTCTCGACGAACCAAGACGGCCCAAACAAGCCGGCTGCCGGGTAATAACTTGGGTCTCTGGCGGCCGTATGGGACGATCTGGACACCCCCAGAACTCCCTCGCCGAGGCGCAGCTGCCAGAAAAGCCCCCGAGGCTGGAAAACCGCCGCGAACCAGCAAAAACGTCCGAAAACATAATTACAGCGGAGGCCAGTCCACAAGAAAAACCTTCCACAAGAAGCCCAACCCTGAGACCCCAGGACGTCCATCGATTTATAGTGTGGGAACGGCACGCCTTCTTTCCATTGCACAGCCATCGAAACCCAGGAAGCCCAGGGCACCCTGGAGGCAAGCAAGGTGTTTCTTGGCATGGGTTTCCACAGTAAAGAAACGAACGACGGACGACGGCGACGACGATCGACGGCGGCGGCGACGACGACGAGCGAGATTGAACAGGATCACGTCGGGTGAGGGTGCATCGGGAATCTCTGAGATCCAGCGGCTCTGGAGAATGTCCCAGGCGCCGCGGCCCTCTCAGAGCGTTCTGGAGCGATCTGAGAGCCTTCCACAACGCTCTGGAACGGACTTATCCTCGTCGTAGCCCCGCCCGACAATAGGCAAACCAAGACGCCTCGCCACTGCTTGGCGACGGCAGCTTCGGCGGCGCCGCCGGCCGGCCGGCTGGCAGGCGGCGTCGGCGACTCCAAAGGGTGTGGTTTGCAAAGGGTGTGGCGTGCAACCGGCACCCTGGGGGGGCACCCCAGGGCGCGGGCAGAGAACTCGACGGAGTTCTCCGCCGCGCCCCGAGGAGGCCCGACGAGGACAGTGTCGTGCTCCACAGGCGCCAACAGCGCCGATCGCAGACCACACCCCGGCCCCCGCGTAACCACACCCTTTGTAGTCCCAGACCCCCGACGTCATGATTTGTTCATGCCGTCGACCCCCAGGGGTCTGCACCCATTCCCCCGGACCGACTTCTCACCCTGCTTCGTTTATTGGGCAGCCCCGAGGCCCAGCGAGGGCCCCCCAAGGCCGACAATAGAGACAAACCCGACCGTCGTGATTTTCTCAGAAACCCCTGGGACGGACAGAACCCCCTTCAGCTCAACGTGGTTTAGTGAAAACGACCTCGGGCCCAAACCTGGCGGGCGCCAAGCCTGGAAAACGACGGCCGCGGCGCCCTCTCGAGAACCGAAAACGGACAATCCACTGGTCGACGTGTCAGGGTGGGGGTTTCTGTCCACCCCCGAAAACCGAGCGGCGGGGCCTGTGGCCGCCGCTGCTCGGTGACCGAGCGGCTCCGGCGGCGCCGCTGCCGGCCGGCCGGCAGGGGGGGGGCCCTCCTCGGCGACGAGCTCGCGCAGCCGCGGCCACAGGGCGCCCTGCGCGCCGAGACGCCGGTGCTCTCTCGGCGGGGCCCCTCTGCTCGTCTTCGAGGAACCAAGACCCAAGGGTCGCCTCGTGTCGCGCTCTCGCGCCGCCCCCACAGAGGAGGAGGAGGAGGAGGAGGAGGAGGAGGAGGAGGAGGAGGAGGAGGAGGAGGAGGAGGAGGAGGAGGAGGAGAGGAGGAGGGGGGGGAGTCAGAGTTTGAACCGCGAAGCGCGAATCACTTCGCGCCCTCGAGGGCGCCCCGGAGCCCAGACCCCTCGGGCCGTGGACAGCTGTCACGACGGGAGGAGTTCTGCGCTGTGTGTTTCTGCCCCCGGGGGGCCCTTTTGTGGGCCTCCGTCAGTCGGGGCCTGCAGTATATAGTCCTCGAGGATGGGGGTCCGAGCAGATGGGGGGTCGGAGGCTCTCACCGCGTCGCCGATGCATCGGCGATGCACTGGCGACGTCGGCGATGCATCGGCGACGTCCGCGCTGAGAGAAATCGGGCTCCGCATCGAGCCGCATCGCCGATGCATCGGTGGTGCTACGCGATCCCTGGGCCACATCTGCTCCGACCCCATCATGGAGGCCTAGACTCTCTGGGATCGTCCTTCAAAAAGCGGTCCGGGACGAAGAACCGGTCCCAGGGAATGGGTCGAGACCTCTGGGGGTCGACGTCATGGCCCATGCTCCGTCTTCGAGGGACAAAACATCGGAGGTTCGAAAGGGGGGCGTTTACGAGGGAGGCTCGCAAATCATGGCACGAGGCATGT